AGAGATTCTGGCGTCAGGATAAGTAACCCACCCCCAAATTCAGAGCCAAGAGCCGCACAAAGCTTCACACCCACCCTGCTTTAGGGTGCGCTCACACTCACGCCTGCACGTCCTCAGCTCCCTGTTTAGCTCAGCCTAACGAAGCGACGTCCTTTCTCCTCTGCTCGGGGCGCGGGAAGGGGAAAACCGGTGTCAAACGGTGCTTGCTTTCGTTTTCTTCCCCAAATCCCCGAGTCAGGAGTTACTCATTTACTTCGTAAAGTCCAACCGGGAGGACCAGGAAGAAGAAGGGACCTGCTCTGTTAATTCCCAGCAAAGCGTGGGGAATTTAGCTCTTGTTTCCTCTTAAGAAGCTGGCAGCAGACCCAAAGAGAAGGAAAGAAAAATTTAAAAAAAGGTATTTTCCACCCCCAAATACCTGAAACCTGGGTATGACCACAGCCACCAGCAACGACAGCTCACGCAATCCCAGCTGCCGATAAGCCTGGGCGGCTGCCGACACCAAACTCGGCTTTCCACGCCAGTCTCCAACACTCGCCGCGTACGTGTGTCGCAACAGCCCCAAGAATTAATAGTACGTTCAATTAAGCAGCTTCCCAAACGCTATTAAACCGGAGACAAAGCTTTCTTCATGCTCCTTCCAGCATTCACCAGGGTCACGAAGGCCCCGGCGAGCGTTGCAGGAGGAGAAACTCCAGCTTGCGACTCGAAAAGCCCCGAGGACAGAGGACCCGACGGCAGCGCGGATGCCGCCGGCCAGTTTTTGGCACGGTTTTTCATTTATTTAAGGGGAATGACCTCCGTGTTGCAGCTCTCCCCAGGTCAACGGGATCCTCTTCCGCCTCAAACCGCTGCCACAGACGACCGCGGCACCGAACGTTCTGCGCAACACGAAGCCAGGGGCTAAAATAACGTCGGAACCGTCGTTCCCGCTGGGAAACAGGAGGAAATTAAATCCGGGGTGCAAAGAGCTTAAGGAAAACACAGCTCCGTCCTCACCTACACCTTGTTTGTGGAGCGGTGACCGGCTGGACCTCAGCCTGCCGTGGGACAAACCTCTCCGTCCTGCGTGGTCCTGCACCTAGAACCCCCTCCAAACTTCTTCGCATTTTTAAGAAAACCAAGCGTTTAGTACAAGCATTTTAAATTAAATAAGCTAAGGCTCTAAATTAGAAGCTGGACAAGGCAGAGACGGGAAGAAATGGCAGACCCGCGGCACCCCCAGGGGGCGCAGGGGA